GGGGGCCGGCGGTGGACCTGCCCCTTACCCGGCCCCAGCCCCGGCTGCCACCTCGTACTCACCTCCATGAGCTCGTCGATGAACTGGCTCCGGGTCTCGCTGTTTTCCAGGAGCGTCAGGGCATCGGAGCCACAGGCGACGCCCTCGGGCACTGGGGGAAGAGCCGGGGGTGAGCAGGACAGGGATCTCCACGGCTCAGACAGTCTCATCATACCCCCCACCCCAATTCGCCCCATACAGGGTGCTCAGCATCACCCTCAGCGTTGTTTGCTGGGGTCAGGGCCCTGCTCCTGCCCACCCAGCACCCAAGAGGCGCCTGCCCAGCACCGCGCTGCCTTCTGCTCAGTCCCAACAGGCACTTGTGCACAGCTAGGGTGCCCAGGGTGACTGCAGGCAGGGAAGGGGGGGTAAAAGCAGGGTGGGTGCTGCCTGCCACCCGCTGGGACCCCGTGTCCTTTTGCAGCCATGCTCACCCTCAGTGCCAGCATCCAGCACCGTGATCTGCACCTCCTCGCTTTCACCATCTCCCCAGTCAATGCCATCATCCTGCTGCAAAAGAAAGGGCACCCTGTGAGATGGGGGTGCCCAGGACACCCCCAGGTCCCCAGCCTGGCCCTGGGGCTGGGCCAGTCCCCAGGACCACACAGCCAGGGGTGACACACCTGGGGACTGGGCTCTAGCGTGATCCCCCAGTCAATCTCCTCGCCCTGGGCTGCCCCGTCAGCTGCAGCACCATCATCCACCCTGGTCGGCTCCAGTGTGAAGTCTCCCCAGTCGATCTGTGGGGAGGACAACAGAACCCCTGAAAGCCCGGGGGCAAGCAGCCTAACCCTACCCAACACATGGCAGAGCCGGCTGGGGCTCTTCCCAGTGCCACAGCTCGGCCCTGGCTGGCCAGGACGTACCGTGTCCTCCTTCGGCGGCTCCGGCACCTCCTTCACCTCCGGCCGCTCCACCCGCAGGGGCTGAAGCCCCGTCCTCCACTCGTACACGGTTGTGTTGCCTCTTTTCCCCACGTGCCGCAACAGGGGCACCACCAGCTCTGCGGAGCTGGCAGCCACCATGGGGTGTCAGTGCCAAGTGCAGGGCGGGGAACCCCCAGCACCCCGAACCCCACCAGGGTCCCTCTGGGAGAGCCCCAGCCTGGGTGCAGCCACCAGCCCAACCTGCTTGTCCCCATGCGTGGGGAGAGGAGATGTGGGGGGGTCTATCCCTGAGCCCCATACCCCCACCCACCCACCTCTCACACACGAACTCCACGCAGGCCTGGTAAAGCTCGATGGCCTCAGAGAGCGCGCTGGCTCCCGCCCCGATCTCGGACAGCAGCGACAGCAGGTCCTTCACCAAGGCCAGCAGCTCCTGGCGCACATTGTCACCCTGGGGACAGAGCAGGGACGCATCAGGGCAGGGAGGCTGGCAGCCAAAGTACCCCTGGGGTGGCTTCACCTGCTGCTGGCAGAGCTAGATGCGGGCAGGAAGGGGATAGAGGGCTGTGGGATCACCCACCCCCCCCCACCTCCTCTCACAGGTAAGGTGGCACTGTGGGGACATCACATTGGACACGTGGTCCCAGCCTGAGCCCTGCTGAGGCCAAACACAGGCATCTGGGGGCTGCTTTGGGGAGGGAGGTGGCACAGCAGGGCCCCCTCCGCAGCAGGGGCTGGCCACAGGGACTCACGGTGATGCCGTACTGCTTGCAAGAGGCAAAGAACCGCTCCCGCAGCTCCTCCGCCCCCAGCTGACACTCCTCCTCGCG